GTGCCACTTTTCTCTCCAAATCCAAAGCCTTCCCACGTGGCTTCACTTGCAGACGTCCTGGGACCCTTACCTTGTACCCCTTTGTCACTCTTGAAGTCACTCACTGTTCATCTCCTCCTTTGCATTTCACAGGATATTTTAATATGAGAACATAAAAATCACACCCTTCTGATGTTATGTTTCAACAGGTTTAAAAATGTTATCTTTGAAATCGCTCCAACAGAAGAAGTGGGAGACTTTGAAGTGAAAGCCAAGTTCATGGGAGTTCAGATGGAGACGTTCATGTTACATTACCAGGTGGGTGTGCACCAGGTGGGGCTGGAAGCTCTGCGGCTGGGGTGGTCGTGTTCTCGTCCAGGGCGGAGACACGGTAGACAGGAGGCCCACGTGGAGAAGGCGTTCCGGGCATGGTGGTGAGCTGGGCTCGCACTGCGGAGGGAGGCGTTGAGTCTGGTTTCTGTGTGATGTGGTCCGTACACCCTGGGATGTGGGATTTTCAGAAAGACGTTCCTTGAAACTCCCATTCGTGTTGCCACTCAATGGAGCTGACCCCTTGGACTCGAGCAAAATGCTTAAGTTAAGTGTAAGTCTTGACAGTACAAGATTGTAAGCCTACTTACAGGAGCTCGATATCCTTTTTTATTTTTATTTTTTTAATTATTTTTTTATATCCTCTTTTAAAGATTTTGATTTGGTAAAGGTGCTTAAAGGCGTATTTCTAACAAGATGTACGTAAATTGCATCTTTGTACACTGAATCCTTTTTTAAAAATTTTTATTCCTCACCTGAGGATATTTTTCCATTGATTTTTTAGAGAGAGGGAAAGACGGAGAGAAACATCGATGTGAGAGAAACACATTGATCAGTTGCCTCCTGCATGTGCCCCTGGGCAGGGAGGAACCTGCAGCCTAGATGCGTGCCCTTGACCGGAATCGAACCTGGGACCCTTTGTGGTTCGCAGGACGCTCTATCCACTGAGCCAAACTGACTAGGGCCAGAACCCCATTTTAATTTCAAAAAGAATGCTGCAGTGAATTGTTTTATAGCTTAATTATTCCTAATTTTCATTCGGTAATAACTATAAGTTTTATGCCTTAAAAAAAGCCAGGGCATTGGGAGGATTCCCGGGAACAGCAAACGGCAGCTTTGTGTCCACAGGGCGTCAGGGTCTGTTCCCATCGGATTCCTCGCGCTGCCTCCCTGCTGCGGGCCTTCCTCTCTGAACGTGCCCCTGGGCTTTGCACAGGCTGTTCTCCCTTGGCTGGGAGCTGTTCCTTCTCTCCCCGTTTCCTTCCATCGTTTATGGTGGGACCACCCTAAAGCCTCCGGTCAGCCAAGCTACAGGTGGTTTCCCATCTGCTCCACAGCCTTTACTTGTTTGTTTGTTGACTTACTTTTTCAATGCGCTTTTTTTTTTTTAAATCCTCACCCCAGGATATTTTTTCATTGATTTTTAGAGAGAGTGGAAGAGGGAAAGACAGAGAGAAATATCGATGTGAGAGAAACACAT